TATCAACAGTCTGCAAAATGAGTCCCATATGTTAAGACCTATAAATTTTGACAACCTACTGAATGGGAGAAGATATTTACCAATGATAGATATAATAAGGAGTTAAAATCCAAAATATATAAAGAAGTCATACAACACCAAAAAACTCAAACAATCCAATTAAAAAATTGACAGAGGACCTGAGTAAACATTTCTCCAGAGTGGACATATGGGTGGCCAATAGACATATGAAAAGACGTTCAATGTCACTAATCATCAGAGATATGCAAATTAAAACCACAGTGAGATAACTCCTAACACCTGTCAGAATGGCTATCATCAATAAATCAAAAAACAAGTGTTGGTGGGGATGTGGAGAAAAGAAAAACGTTGTGCACTGTTGGTGGGATTGCAAATCGGTGTAGCCACTATGAAAAATGGTGCAAAAATTCTTTTAAAAATTAAAAATAGAACTACCTGATGACGGATGACCTAGCAATTGTACTTCTGGGTATTTATCCGAAGAAATCCAAAACACTCATTTGAAAAGATACATACATCCTTATGCTCATTGCAACATTATTTACAATAGACAAAGTATGGCAGCAACCTAAATGTCCATCATCCATAGATGACTGTATAAAGAAGATGTGGTGTGTGTACATATGTATAATGGAATATTACTCAGCCATAAAAATGAGCTTACCATTCGTGACAACATGGATGGACCTAGAGGGTATCATGCTAAGTGAAAAAAGTCAGACAGAGAAACACAAATACCATATAATTTACTGATATGTGGAATCTAAAAACTGAAATAGAGAAGCAAACAAAACAGAAACAGACTCATAGAAACAAAAATAAACTAAGTGATGGTTGCCAGATGGAAGGGATTGGGGGGCTGGATGAAAAGGTGAAGGGATTAAGAAGTACAAATTGATAGTTACAAAATAGTCATGGGGATGTAAAGTGTACCATAAGGGATATAGTCAATAACATCATAATAACTGTATGGTATAAGATGGGCACTAGACTTATAAGGGGGATCACTTCATAGTTATATAAATATCTAACCACTATGTTATACACCTGAAACTAATATAATATTGAATGTCAACTGTAATTTAAAAATTAAAATTAAAATTAAAGACCTATATTTTTAAAAGAAGATAATAAAATTCAAACTGATTTCGTTATATTGTTGAAATTGATTTATAACCCTTATTAAGTACCTACAGGGTACAACATACTAAATAACATTCTATAACTGGATAAAAATAAGCCAGAAGAACTTATTTACTGTATTTTAAACCAAAGATTGAGCTTTTACTAAGCAATTATTAAACTTCAGCTGTTTCAATGTGTTGGTATTTGGGAGTGAAATGTGGAATGTAAATGAGCTCGCATTTGTAAAAAAATAACCTGAAAGGCAGTCAGCTATGTATTTGTTATTTAGTTATTTGTGGTTTTGTTTGTTTTTTGTGTTTTGCATATTTTTGTATATATAATTTTATATATTTAGATGGTTTCCATATCTTAGCATTGAGAAAAAGGTAGCTAGCTATACGAGGTATTTGTAATAACTGTTTCACAATGTGTATATATACATCAAATTATCAATTTGTACACTTTGAATATATACAAATTTTATTTGTCAATTATACCTTAAATATATATATATATACACATACATATATATGTATGAGTATATATAAATATACATATATACATACATATATATATATATACTGTTCCTGATGTTGAGGAGTAAGATTCAAGTTAAAAAGCTTGATTTTTATGTAACTATTCTAGTGGAGACACTGTCTAAAGACTTAGAAGTTCAGCTGGAGGAGTATCTACCTGATTCACAGATTATTTATTCTTCTAAATCAGTGGTTCTCTGCCCAGGACAAAAATCACCAGGGGAAATTTTTGAGCAAGGCTTCCCGAGCTAATTCTCAGAGCCTCTTATTTAGTTGGTCTGAGATGGGGCCCCAAATGGTGTCTTTTAAAGGCTTATGAGATGATCCTAATGTGCACTAACTAGCGTAGAGAGCCACAGGGCGCTGTGCTGGAGGAAAGGCATTGACCGGCACACCCTTCCCCCTCCCCGCTCCCAGGCAGCCAGCCCCAGGACACAGTCTGCGTTGCTCCTTAAAATCAAGCCTAGTTGTTCTTCTCTTGATCATTAGTTCACATTTTGTCTTAAAGACACTGTAATTTTTTTTCCTTTTAAGAAGCAACCGCTATAGCCAGAGCCAGTTCAGGGCCTGCTGTCTGCCACAGCATAGACTGTATGAGAGGCATCTGGATATTAGCTTCAGGCTTTGTGCCAATGATGCCCCTTCCCTTTGCTTTTCCTTTCTCTTTCCCACTTCTTCTAATTTATACTATCTTGATGTGCTTTAATTTATTCTTGTAAACTGTCTCCAAATCTTTTAAGGAAGAAGGAGGGATGTGTTTTTATAATGAATAAATGAACAAAGAATAAAGCACAACAAATGCACACAAACACTCAACATAGAAATAACCAGAAATAACAAGCCCTTCAGTTTCCTGAAAAGGGATTCAAGAAGGGCAAGACTGGACAGGTGGAGAAGGGGGTTAGAAGTGAGGTGGAACGGTGGTGCCTAGACGTAGGGCAGGCACAGGTGAGTAGTCAGTGAATGCCTATAGCTGACGACTGCCATGGTAGAAAGGAGACTTGGGCCTTTCAAATGAAGACAAGCTGGACAGTTATAACTCAAGTTCATGAAAAAGGATAAAAGTTCTCAACATAGCACATTAATGAGAACAAATTGATGTCTTTGTAGTGCAATCCTAGTCCTAAAGAAACAAGAAGGGAAGATATGATGGGCTGAGGGGAAAATAAACTTAGAAACCTTCCTGAAGCAGGTGAATTTGGAGCTTAGTTTTGACAGAAGGGAAAGCCTTATGCTACATAAAAAAAACAAGAGGTTCTAGAAGTTGACACAGCTCTACACTGATGGTACAGAGACTTCCTCCCCACAAAGTGAGGTGTGGTGGAAAGAACAGCCAGGGAGAGCTGAATAAGGAAAAGATAAGTCTTGTGAAGACTAGGGACATTTTAGTGAGAGTTTATAAGGGAAATGCTATGAAGAGGGCTCATTCTTCCCTGGACCGATATTTATTGAGTGTCTAGTATATGACAGGCATTATTTTGGATGCTTGGGATATAGCAGTAAATAAAACAGGTATGGTCTTCGCCTTCGTGAACCTTGTAGTCTAGGCATTAGGCATTAATTATATAATGACCCAATGAGTACTTTAAAGAGGCAGAGGGCGCTGTGGGAGGCCATGGGCCAGGCTGGGAGGAATCTAGTTTGAGGACAAGAAGGCTTTCCATTGGTGGACAAATGGAGAAATATTTAGGAGAATTGATAAGACTTGGTGATTGATTGGAGAGAGCCTGAAGGAGATGGAATCTCCATAGAGGTTTCCCAGGTTTCCGGCATATATAGCTTATAACATTTACTGAGATAGGGAATACTAGTTGGGAAAACACACATACACAAATGTATGTATGTGCACATGCGCACATGCACACACACACACTCCCAGTCAGGAGTTGAGAAGACAGTTAAATGTAATTATTTTATTATTCTTCCTCGGAGCCTCCTCTTCTCTGAATAAAACAAAAAATAAAGATTTTCCAGGATCAGACAGATAAAATTTCAAACTTATGAAGGTTGAAGGCTTACAGAGAGCATTCTGAAGTACTTTCCACTATGTCTAAAAACAAAACAAAACAAAGTGAAATTCTCACTAATGACTGTAGTGTTATTCTACTTTACTTTTAGCTCTGATCTTTGTATATGATGGTCAATTATTGGGGTACCTTAAATATTACACTTCAGGAATATCTATTGCCAAAAGAAGTTCCCAAACGATACGCCTCTCAGGGAATTATTCATCGCCATTGTTTCAAAGGATGCAAATAATCATTATCATGGTTAAATTAAACTTTATTTGAGCCACAGCTATATAAATATATGTACACAACATGACATACTATACAAGATTGTAAGCCCTCCTCTACCCATCCCCCATCTATGCTTTCCATCTCCTAAGTGTGTCAGCTTTAAAAGAACGGCCCCACCCTCCCCACCAGCCCAGGCAGCATTAACTCATGGAGAGCATGGCACACGCCTGTAAGTGACGCTGTGCCTCTTAGAGTGTCTAACTGATTAGGGTGCTTCAAAGTCTCACGAAGGCTGGCTTTAACATCTTGAACTCAAGTATAAATTCAGTTGTTACTAATTCCTCAACCTATTGAGTTAATATGGAATGAAATAAAAAATGCAGCCTCCTTAAAACTAATTTCCATAAAAGAAAAAAACATCGCTAAAAGGTGATTTAATCATTTGTGATTTCTGAGGCAAACTGAGAATCTTTCTTTGGATTACTGACGGTTTTCCTTGAAAATAAGCGTGTGATTATATTCTACAATAAAATTACAAACATAGAAAAATATAACTCTATCCTTATTCCATGGTGCACTGAAATCATGCAGGGGGAAAAAAGAAGTGTGGTCGTATTTTCCAAAGGAAATAGACACTTTTTTCTGTAAATATTTTGAATGTGCATGATCAATTTCTGTCACTTGTCCAACACCTAGAAGTGCCTGACAACATTCTAACATGAATTTCTGGATTGGTTTCAGAAACAGTGACTGGTAACCATATCTACAAGTGGCTAATCTATTTTGATGTGAGTTTAATTAATGCTGCATATGAAACTCCAAATGTCACAATCCAGGAGCTTTAAACATTTAATTATTAGACTGGCTTTGTTAATGTATTCTAAAATAAAATTTTAATTTAATTTAATGTATGTATTAAATTCTTTAATGATAAATTCATTTTTTAAGAGAAAGGGGTTTTATAAAATCACTCTATAATGATTTTAGATGTAGAAGAGAACTATATAAAAATGCCACAAATAATAAATGAGGTCATATATATGAATACAAACTTGCAGGAAAGGACTGGGCTGCCCAATTATGACGTCTGGTCATGAAGTCCAAGCCGCCGTTTGATGAAGTTGGAGATTAGAAGTTGAGGCCTTTGCTGGTAGTCCACCAGAACATCGTGGGGCAAGTTGATCTGGTCACATTCAAGTCTGTCTAGAAGTGTCACACAGACCACCGCAGCTAGAAGAGCAAACGACATCATTACCGAATAAATTAATTTATCTTTTATATAGAGACATTAGCCAAACATTCCATCCCCGGCACACGTACTTTGTATTATTTCTCCTGTCATGTAGATGCAACCCAATGAACCCTCTAGCCTTCTCTATAACTCCTATTTTTATAGACTCCCACCAAATATTTCATCTATGTAAGTTAATGGAAATAATTTTAAGCACTCTCCCTTCTCCCTTCCACAACAATCAGCTAGATTAAGGGGAAGCATTGTGTTTGGGAAAAGAAAAAAGAGAGATCTTTGACATCCAAGATAAACGCACCTCCAGCTTTCTATTCAATTTTCAGTTAGAGAAGCATCTTCTAACTTGAGGATATAACCGGAGAGCTAGCCATTAGTCCTGAGATGACGTTTTATTCCTTGGTGCAATGTTTGAGTTTGCCTGCCAAAGCCTTTGCTGAAAAGTAAAGTAAGTAGAGAAGAGATATGAACGCTGACCTCAGGAAATATCAGTAAAGGTGAGTACGGACACTCATGAAGTTTGAGAAGAAAAATATTAAATGGAATGTTTAAACATAAGAATCAGCTCCATGAAGGAGCAAATTTATTAGCATTTAGTTTCTACAGAATGAGAATAAAATCTTATGATAGATACAAAACTAGGGGAAAAGAACAAACATTTTTTTCTAAAAAAAAAATAAAATAAATGAAACTTTCATTTTTGAAAAGTCACCATGATAGCAGCATCTTTGGTTTGTTACATGAAGAAGAACCAGAGAGAAAAACCAGGTCTCCTATAATTTTTTTCTTGTCAGTGTTACATGAAATCTTTGATTTCAAGAAATGTAGTTATACACATTGAAATGTATAAAAAAGTATAAACGCGTTTTGAACTGATAACAGTGCAACAACCTCTATCTTCATCTGCATCATTTTTTAAAAAAGATTTCAGTGTTTATGGGATTAGATGTGGCTACATAACTACTTTGAGGCCGTAGAGATCAAGTTGGGCGTGAGTGTAATATTTATTTCTTTGACCTCTCCACTATTTCAGATTTCTTTTAAGATCTGAATTCATGAAGGAGAAATGGACTGTAATTATAATAGATACTATCTTTTCTGTTTGGTTTAGTTCTTGCTATCTTCTGGGTATTTATGATATCATTTGGTCCTTACAGCTGTACCATGAGCTAGCTATTATTTTTATCCCTTTTTGACAGATGATGAAATGAGGGCTTAGGGAGGTCAAACAAATGGCCTGACAATGCACAGCTAATAAACAGCCACTCAATTCTAAGCTTCCTAAACTGCTAAGAAGAGTTCTCTACCTTCCGTCCACCCATCCCCTGAGCTGGCACAGGTTAAACCATTAGGCAGACGTGCCCTGACTTCTCGGTCAAACTGACCCTTCTGTTCAGTGAAGTGAAAAGGAATGAAAATGTGCAACTTGAGGTGAGTCAAAAATCTCATCACCTAAGATCCTATTTGTTCAAAACTCACTTGGTTGTAAAGCAACTTGGCTGAACAGGTAACTAAGCAAATAGAAGGGCTAGGAACTTCCCCAGCTTTTCAAGTTAATGATCAGCAAGTCTGTGAAGCCTAGAGTGGGCTGGCAGTAGCCAGGAAAAGTTGAAAGTCTTTCTCTAATCCTTCACTTGGAAGAAAGATAAAAGGAAACCCGTGCTCTGTACTTTTCACAGAGTGGAAGCTGACTTCGCTAAATGTCTTATCTGGAGATTTCAAGGGTAATGCCAAAGATGGAAAAGAACAGGTCATACAGTCTCCACAGTGTTTTCTTGATCCCCGAGGCCCCATTAACAAGCAGCATATAATAATCTTGTCACCTAAAATTATTATTTCTATGAGCAATTATAAAAAACTAATTACCCAAAAACAATTTGTCAAAAATTAAGCCTGAAAGCTTTGCTACCATAATCCTTAGATTGGGCAGGAAGGGTGGCTCCTGTGGAGGGACACTTAATGACCTAGCTGTCACCAAGGAGGTTGTCAGCTAACTGACTCAGGCTGAAGTATGAACACAGAGCTCGGAGTTCCAGCTACACCAGGAACTCTCAGCGATTCTCAGCTCCTTGGAATCATTTATGGTCCCTTTGAGAATCTGACGAGAGTTGCAATTGGAACTCTTTTCACAAAAATACACATATGCATGCACATAAAATATCTGTGTACAAATTTTCAGGGGTTCAGGGCCTCTGAAGTTCACCCATGAATCCTTAGGAATCCACAGACCCCCACGTTAGCCCCACCTTTCTGATTCAGAATAGACTTCCAAGAAAGTTTTCCCATGAACTGTAGGCAAAGACAGCAAAGCGGGGCACAAATTCTCCTATAGAAAACAGGACTCAAAAACAGAGCTGGGCCTTGGAAAATGGCAAAGTGGCGAAGGTTATCTTGGGAGTTCTCAGCCTGGCTCTTATGACAGCTCCTCTTCTACCTCTCCTGGCCCTTTTCATGCCCCTCTTCACTCCTCGAGGTGTGCATTCATTAACACCCCATCTTTCCTCCCTGTATGCCTGGTTTATAAAGCATAGAAAGCTCAACAACCCAGAGCCTTTGTACTGCCTCTGTTTCCCCTGAGACATTAATCTCTGGCTGTTGGCCGCAAATCAAAAACCACATGGAGAAAATTTATATTCAAAGAGGCTGATCAAAGCTAAGGAGTACAAGAGCAATTTGTTCTTCTAGATTGGTAGTTCTTAAAATGTGCTCCACTGGCCACCTCCATCAGAACCAGAGCTTGTTAATAATGCAGATTCATAGGCTCTCTCCCAGACATATGGAATTAGGGGTGAGGGATGAGAGAGGGCAGTGAATCTACATTTTTAAAAGACCTTCCCAGTTGTTATTTGCACATTAATATTTGAGAACTATAGCTTTAAAGACTTTAAACTCTATCCTGATTCAAATTAAGTTACAACAAATGTACTTGCTAGTACTTTGGGTTGCCAAAAGAATGCAGAATTATTACCAAGACTTAGCATTGACTCTACCAAGAATTGTTCCATATCTTTTATAAAAGTGTTATTGAAGACACTGTCTATTATAATATAGCTGATAATTTTCCTTAAGTTTAACATTTGGATAAAGTTTTTATGATAAACCTCAAATGCTTTCTTTTATTAGATGAGTTCTGTGTAACTCAAGGTGTTTCCATTTCAACTTGGCCTCCAGGAGACTCAGAACTAAGTATAAGTATTTAGGTTTAGTATTGGACTCCCAGATAGCCTCTTTGATATTGAGAATTCCCCATCTGCCCTCTTAAATATATGCCTCTAACTCTCTTCCTTTGCTTAAATTGTATTATACATTCATTTTTATGGAAAGCTGCTGCTAATGCTTTTTCAAAAAAAGAATACAAGTAATCTATCGATAGATAAATGTGTTACTCTTTTATACCTTACGGAATAGAAGAGGGAGTGGGGGTTAGGAGATAGGAGATCTCAGTTCTAGCTCATCTCTGTTCTGATCTGGCCATGTTCCCTTACGCAGGTCATTTACACTCTTTAGGCCTAATTGCTTTCTCTGAGAAAGGAGCAGGTTGAATCTCAGAAGTTTCTTCCAAGTCCACACCCTCAGCTTATATGTCTCACATCAT